ATATGCCTGACATATTTTCTTTTACTTACTTTCACCATGTCTCTATCCTTTTGTTTTAAAAATGATTCTGTAAACAAAAATATTCCCAGATCTGAAAACCTTTGTTTTAGGGGTTGATTAAAGTAACTCATTAACAGTTACTATACTTAATATTTGGAGTTAGTTAGCCATAGTATTTTAAGATTTATACTTATCTCACTTTATTATTTCTTTTTCCCATTTTTCCTTTTTCACTAGATAGACCAATATTCCATTGATTTGAAAGTCATATATACAGTAAATCAGGTTTTTTTGGTTTGTTTGTTTAGTAGTTATCCTTTATTTAATCTCTTTGTATTTATCTCCCCCAAGTTTAGGAAAAATTTTTCTAGCAATAAGAGCAAGAGAAATTGACTCCTAATGAATTTATTCTAAATCTTTTGCCTTTGCCAGTTTTTTAGCTTTAGAATCTTGAAAGCTAAGAATGGATTCTTTGTGATCTGTGTTCTGCTATGTCATTCTTTGCCTGAAGCAGTGAAGTTGCAAAGTCTTGGCAGCTTAAGTTGGGAGAAGGTCACAAGGAACAAGGAACAAGGGGTGGCGGAACCCTGTTATTATCTCAAAATTGTATTCAGTCTCAAGTGCTTGTGCTCTGTTTACCATCACCAGTCAGAACAATTTTGGAGAAACATTCTAATTCTTTATAATTAGTTGGTGGATATAGTTAATATTTACATGAAATTAGCTAATTAAATAATTTGGGATATTCTGTCATATTGAAACTGCCCTCTTAATCTTTGGTTTCTTAAATTCTAATTTGCTATTTATTCATTTTTAATAAATCCATTCAATGTTAATTAAGGACATAGTGTCAGCTACTGTGTTTTCTGCTCCAGGAAATTATAAGACAATACAATCCCTTCTTTCAAGATCTCTTTGTGGTGAGGGACAGAGACTGATCACCTAATAACTATAAAGAATGGAACAGCAATTATAGTGGAATGCAATTTTGAAAAAGCAAAGAAGAGAGGGCCACTAATTCTCACTGGGGAAGTAAATATTTTCACAGAGTTGGGTCTTGAACAATGAATGGATATTCAAATAAAGAAGGATGGGGGAAACTGAAGTATGGATATCACTTTATGTGATAAAGTCTCATAAAGTCATGAGCGTAAAATACATTTGGGAATGGAGAGATTGTATGTGGGAGTTAGCGAAACACCAGGGGCAAGTACAAGACTAGAGAGACTGTACTTTGAGCTTTAGGAAATGCATCTTCATTTAGAATTTTTTTTTTTAAAGCAGGGAAGAAAAGTAGATGTGGAGGTGGTATGGAGTGGGAGAGAAAGTAAAAGAGGAAAAGAGAGAGGGAATGTGCAAACTTGGGCTTGGCATCAAGGAAACAAACTAAGAGACTGCAAGAAACCTTTTCAGTTTTTGACTACTCCATTAGCTCAAGATCTCATATTTGTCAAGTGGTATAATTTTTAAAACTGATTTGACTGGATGGATTGAGCATCAAAAGAGCATAAAAAATAAGCATCCTTTTTGTATATCGTAGGTAGCAGTGTCTACAAGACTATTTAGGACATATTTCTTGCACTGTTCGAAATGCTTTTTGTGAGCATATACGTTTGTTCTTTTTTGGGGAGAGCTGTGGTAGGTTTGAGAGTGGAGGGGTTGGGGGCAAGACTTTGATTTATTGTCCTACCATTTAGTAAATATTATAGACTTGTATTTTCTGTGTAATACTCACCAAACATTCTAAAATTATCTATCTCTAAATTCAAGTGATTCAACATATAATTGAACACTATGTATGTACATGCAATTCTGTAAGATTCTGTGGGTGATACAATGAGGGCAAAAACTCATAGCTTACCATCTAAATTTATTTATGCAATAAGTCAAATGTATGTTTGACAATAAGACAAGCTATTGAAGACATTACATACAATAGTATAATTATTTCATTCCATAGGGTCAGCTACAGTAACAACAAAGAGGCAAATGGTTTCTTAATCTTGGTGTGTTTAGTAAAACAAACTGTTTATTCCTCACTTACAAGAGGTGTGCAGGGAGGTGCTCAGCATTCTGGGCTGCTCTGATCATGAGGAACCTCCACAGGGACACCTTTCCATGATGTCCCTGGAGTGGACTGGAGCATCAACTACTGGCAATTAAATGCTCCTACTCAAGAAGTGACATTTCTGCTCAGATTTCACTGCTAGCCACAGTCCTATGTCTGTGAGTAAAGAGGCTGGGAAGAGTTATCATGTGTCAGGATGCAAAGAGAATCAGATATTGGAAAACACATATTTATTAATGAATAATAAGATAAGCATCATGAAAATGTTAGGAAAGAAGGAGCTACGGTTGTTTTCCAGAGCAGGAAGCAATCACATACAGGATGTCATGTAATAAGAGACAATTCTTCTGTTTCTTTTTGTCAATACGTAACTGTTGCTTGTAATGCTTCATTTTCCTTAACGGGGGCTCCAAATTCAATCCTGGCTCCCAAGCTGGATGATTTGGTAGAACAGTAAGACTTCCATGCTTTCTCCAAATCTTTGTTTTTTTCTCTTTTACAGATTCTGTAACAGGGTGCTCCCCAGGAAAAGGGGAGGTCCCAGATTCCCAGCTGCACCCAGGGGAGGGTAGAGAAGAGCAGGGAGAAGAATCTGGGAAGAAGACTGAGGAGGATGGAAGCAGGACCTATAGCCAAGAGATGACCTGAAGGAGCCCCATGGAGCAGACAGAGACATGTTTAGATGCAGCTTTTGTTTCTTGGCCCTGGACTGGGTGAAACAGATGTGGTTGAGAGACCCTTGGGGGAGGTTAAGTATGGCAGCATTTATCGTGATTGTGCTCTTTTCCTACCAGACTTGTCTGGCCATTTCTGACCGTTTTCTTTGAGTCCCCGCCAGAAAGTGCTTTAGATTTGTGGTGGCCTGTCAGGCTTTGCTTTGGGCCAATCCATTTTGGGTTAACTTTTACCCATGAGGGGATGGGTAACTTTGGGTGTTTGATTTAGAAACTGTATTCTTGGTCTTTTATGTATTGCACACCCACTGTATTAAAGTTCCTTTCCATTAAAGGTCTTATATTTTGTCTTGATGTGGCAGAATCTTTTTAGAGCAGGCAGATTTGGGGTGTCCCTCTCTCCCTGCCCTGTAACAATTCCAGAGATGTGCTTAAGGAAATGGGACCTGTGAAAGAGTTTCTATTAAGGTTCTAGCAGGCACAACCTAATTCCAAGAACGGTTTATTGCTTCTTGAAGGTATGAGTCTATTTTGCACAAAAGAGTGGTAGATTGGTTAAATCAAATGCTTAATCCAAGGAATGAATACTGTCTCTAGGAGTTTAGATGCTTCTTTACAAAAAAGCCTAGAAATTCAGTAGAAAAAACGGCAGCTTTTTTCACTTATCATAAGTGAGCTTACATATATAGAGCAAAATAGTCACAGGGTTTTATAGAAAGGAGAATACTGATTAATACTGATTAGAAAAAATGAAAAGCTGCTTTTTCATTTGCCTCTAAGTATTTTGGAGAAAGTCTGGTACTTTTAGTGACTTTCCAATTTCTTCTGCTTACCTAATTATTAATTATAATTGAGCAAGAGTAAAAGAGAGACGAGTCCAATTTGCTAATGTGGAGAATACTTCTCTATCTTTCTATATTAAAATTAGAATGATCCAATTATCTTCAGAATGTTTTTTGAATCTCTTGGAAATGTGCATTACCTCGTATAAAAGGTTAGAAATCTTTACATTAGCTCTGAATATATATATATATATATATATATACACACATATATATGTATATATATATATATGTACACACTGAATTTATTGCAATTTCTTTATATTTTAAGAAACTGGCTACAACAAGAGCTAAAACACACGTTTGGTATACAAATGTTATATTTTCGAGTGAAATTGGAATTAAAATCTTTAATCTTACTAATGTGGCTTAAACCGAGAGCATTTTTGGAACGTGGCAGGAAAAGAGATTTAGAAGATATTATGCAAGCTTTAGAGGAAATGGAAGCCCAGTACATACTACTACTTACTACTACTACTACTACGACTACTACTAAAATCCCAGCGCCCATCGAGAGTGGCTCACTCTCCAGGGGGCAGTAGAGGAGTCAGGGGAGGTCGGAAATCTTGGTGACCAGAGGAAGACCGAGTTGGTCTGGTCGTGCCCGCACCGGGCACCGGATAGCCGCCCCGCGCGGCTCGGAGGAGGGGGTTGGGGCAGGGGCCGGAGGAAGAGGCGGAGGCGACTTCACACATCAGCAGTTATAGGCGACGTTCACTGTCCGCCAGACGGGAGGCGGGGTAGCAACCCGATTTAAAGCAGCAGCCTGGAAGGAAGGAAGGAGCGAGGGAGGGACGGGAACAGTTGGAGGAGGAGCAGCGAGCGGGGCTGCGGCGGCTGGAGGAGGAGCGGCCCCCGCGTGGCCACGTTTTGTTTTGTTATTTTCCATCGGAATAGTTCTCCAGGCCCTTCCCAAGGACTGGCCGCGCCGGAGCCCCGCAGCCCCGACCTTCCAGGTGACAGCGGGTCACCCTGGTAGGAGTCAGCTCCGCCCCAAGTCACCCCTCCCGCCCACAGCCCCACTCTCCGCCCAGCCTCCCAGTGCCCGCCCGAGGCGAGCGCGGCGGTGGCGGCGGCTCTGCAGCGCCGGAGGTCGCGGCGGAGGCGGTGGCCGCAGCCCTCGGCGTGGGGCTGACCCCGCGGGGCCGCGGCGGAGGAAGCGGGAAGTCGGGACCCCGGCTCGGGCCCGGGAACGAAGGCTGACGAGCTGACCCGCCCTCTCCTGCCAGTCCCGCCGCCGGGCGCTCCCTCGGTGCCCGCCGCCCGAGGCTGCCAACCGCGCCCGGGAAAGTGCCGCATGGGGCAGGGCCGCTGAGGCGCGGAGTTCGGGTCGCGCCGTACCCAGGCGGGCCGGGGGGCAGTTGGCACACTTTCGGCAGCGCCCGCCTTCCGCGCGAGAATTGGGGGCGCCTCGCGAGTTATGGAGCCCCCCAGCTGTATTCAGGATGAGCCGTTCCCGCACCCTCTGGAGCCCGAGCCGGGCGCCCTTCCCCAGCTGGGCCCCGGGAAGCCGGGCGACAAGCGGTTCCGGCTGTGGTACGTGGGGGGCGCGTGCCTGGACCGCAGGACCACGCTGCCCATGCTGCCCTGGCTCATGGCCGAGATCCGCCGGCGCAGCCAGAAGTCCGACGCGGGCGGCTGCGGGGCACCCGCGGTGCGCGAGGTGCTGCTGGTGCTCAGCGCGCCCTTCGTGCGCTGCGTCCCCGCGCCGGGCGCCGGGGCTGCGGGGGGCGTCGGCCCCGCCGCCGCGCCGCCCAACCCGGCCGTGTTCATCTTCGAGCACAAGGCACAGCACATCTCGCGCTTCATCCACAACAGCCACGACCTCACCTATTTCGCCTACCTGATCAAGGCGCAGCCGGACGACCCGGAGTCTCAGATGGCCTGTCACGTTTTTCGCGCCACAGATCCCAACCAGGTGAGACCCAGGCTGGGAGCCGCGGGGGAGGGGCCGGCGCCGCCGGCGGGGTGGCACTTTGGGACCCACTAGGGTTGGTTGCTGGCGAGCGTTCTGCACGTGGCGCGCTCCAGTGCCTGCTCGTCCCGCTCTTCAGCGGGAGCGGAGGGGCTGCTTTCCCGGGCTGGTGGGATCTCGCGAGCAGGAGCAGGGCCGAGGAGGGGCCGGGCGAGGGTTCCGGCACCGGGGAGTAGCGGGCGCGCGGGAGGAGGACGTGGGGGGTGGCGCGCGTTCCGGGTGGGTCGCGGTGCCTGGGGTGTGAGTGGAGAGGGCCAGCCAGGCAGTGGTCGTGTGTGAGCCTGCGTGTGCTTGTCGGTGTAAAGGGGGTTGCGAGAGCTTTTCGGGTTTCAGGAAATCCCGCACGCAACCCGGTCTTGGTGGTGTCCTGAGCTTGAACTCATTTGTTGCGTCCTTGCGGCACCTGCAGGTGTTGGATCTGGGAGGCTTTTTTCCAGCTGGGCTTAGGGAGAAGTTACTAGATATTGTCAGGTAGCAATGTACGAACCTGCCTTTGGGTATTGAGTGGAATGAAAACTTTCCTTCCTTCCTTCTTTCTTTCTTTTTTTTTTTTTTTAAGGTTTTACGCACTATGGAGACAGTTTCCATACCCACTTGGTTGACAGGTCAAAATCTTTTTTCCACTGGGATTTCTCCAGGGTATACTAAATGGAGATGTTTGGTATCAAATAGTGCATTTTCACTTCCTTAAAAACAGGTGCGGGCCTTTATCTCATAGCAAGAGGACTCTGATACAAACTTTACCACAGTGATTGTGTCTTTGAAAATATGTTTTTAAAATGCACAAAGAATTTTTACCATATAGAAGACCCCAACATGCTGTTGTTATAAGATAATGTTTGCATAGTGTTTTAGAGTATTTGGGAAATAGTGTTAGTTCAATATAAGTAAATAAAGTCTCATTGCATCAAGTGGCAGTTCCTTTAGTCCCGGGAGATTAATAGTCAGATGGAAAAAATACTATAAATAAAACTAAGTATTTTCTTTATTATCCTAGTGTCTGTAAATGACTTTCTGTTTGTCTAGTAATTTTTCACAAAAGGTCTATAACTGACTAAAAAAAAATTAAAGCTGGTTATCTTAGACTTTGTTGCTTTGAAAGTTTAATATATTAATACCCAGAGCTCCCAATATGAAGAGAGCAATTTTGGTTTATGTGATCATGGCAAAATACCCAATTATAAATTACCTCAAGATCCCAGCCATGGTTTATGAATTTATTGTATGCTTTTTTGTCAAGGCTTTTGCAGATGGGAGTACAGCATGTTCTTTTTTTTTTTTTTAAAGATTTATTTATTTATGTATACAAGAGCTGGGGTACAGTGGGTGAGAGAGCTCACCAGAAGCAGAGTGGGGAACAGAACAGGCAAATTGACTGAAATATACTATATACTGCTGAGGGGAGTAGCTGAGGAGACAGGAGAGGTCTGCTGTGCCATGCCGGTCAGCTTTCTGACTGGGCATTTAATTCCTGCTACAGTGCCTGTGGATAGCTTCTTAGTACTTCGCTTAACCCATTGCACACAGACCCCTACATCATGTTCTTCATTTCTGAAAGTTATTCTCTTTATTGTATTAATTTCTTTTGGTTCTTTCAATAAGGAGAAAGGAATCACACTTTTTCAGGACCCTAAGGAACATTTCGTGGTCCTTGGTGGTATATGTTAATATTCTAATATCATTGATGGCCGAAGTCTTTTTAAAGGGTCACAACTCCTTGAATTATCAGCAGTGGCCATTGATTCTCTTCCAGATTGACAGGTAGGGCAGTTAAAAACATCAGCTTCTATTTGTCTTGAGTATGTGTTCAGGTGTTAGAGGCTAAGTGTGCTATTACTTTGCAAATGTTAATATGTGTAGGCTCATTTCCTTTGTTTGGTCCTGTTGGAACAGTGGAAACCATGTAGCTTTTTGATAAAAGAAATAAAACCAATTATGCCTGCTTATTGCCATTTCCCTGTTGAGCCATTGATCTAAAGATATGAATTCCTATTTGCTCTAAATGTAGAGGAGAAACCTTGGCAGAGTATTGCTAATTTGGAAGGCCCGATGTTGTCCCCCTTAAGGAATATCTCCAGCCATAAATCAGGGATTACTTCCACAAATGCCTGAGAAGATGTTTGAGGACCATGGAGAACTGAAAAGTGGGTGTCCTTTCTCAAGGTGCAGCTCAGAGCTCTGGCTGGAAATTGCATAAGCATAAACATGCTCACCATGGCCAGATCTGATTTCTCAAGAGAAAGTAGAAATTTGGATCTTCATGCATGAGTTCACATTTTCAAGTATTAGCAAATATTTAAAATATTGAATCTACCGGGGCCAAACCAAAACAGATGAGAGTTGGCTTCAGAGATTCATGGCATAAATATTTGTTGAGTGCAGGGTGCAGGCCTCCCTCTGTGCAGTTTGTCACATTTCGTTGTGAGCTTCTGAATTCAGTCCATATGCTCTTAGCGTAGGAAGGATTAGGCCATTTTTAGGAAGAATTGATAGGTACGACTCTCAGAAGTGATGATTTTGCAGCTGAATTTGGGATGAATTACAAGAGGCTTTGCACAGGTCTCAGCACCCTTGAAGGCAGAGAGAAAAGCCAACTGCCTTCTTTGCCCTAGAGGACTATATTGGAGGTGGAGTTGGACTTCATGAAATCATTAAGAGAAATCTCTGGAGTGTTCTCTACAGTTGCTGACCAAAGTGTGGGAGGAAGCTCAGAGCAATAGACATGTCAATCCCCAGAGAAACTTGCCACTGGCTTTTCTATCGTGCTTGTCCATTTTCTGAAAAGGTCCTATCTGTAGAATGATCATATAATTTATTACTTAATTGATGGCAACATGTTTTTCAATTAGGAAATGGGGCTCCACAAATATTGACCCAGCATAATGGGTATAAACCTGGACTGTTGAGGCAAACTGGGAGGTAGTCACCATAGCTAAAAGGCAAAGAGTATGTTTATGCAGAACCACTGAGAGCACTGTGGTATCTAGATATAAAAATGATAATGTTTTGCAGGGATCTATGCACATATCTTTGTGGGGTGGATCTCAGAGATAGGAGCACTGTGCGTGGTTCTGTGGTGGGGCATTGCCACAGTGATGTGCCTTTGGCACCACATGTCCTGAGGGGTCAGAGTCAACTTGAGGATGTTGCTTCTGGAGGAGCTTGGCTGGAGGAGCTTGGCTGGAATGGCTGATGCAGAGTTCTTTCTCCCAGGTGCAGATAGAGGTGGGGGTGGGGAGCAAACCAACCAGTTCCAGGATTGGCTTTCATTTATTCAAGCCTGTGTAGTCTTGTACAGGAGGAATGTCAGTCCTGATACATTTCATTCAAACCTGGCGATTTGAACTAGTCAGAATGCTTCTACCTATCTATCTTCTATCTATCTAAAAAATCCCATTGACATAAATTGAGTGGTAGACTAAAAATTGGTTGGGAACCAAGAATATCTGGTTTTCTACCTCAGATCCAGGGTAGATCGTTAATGTTCTTCAAGATTTTATTTTTATTTTCAGAAAGGGGCTATATAGCATTAATTCAATTTCTCTATTAAAAACAATTTTCTTATGGTATATGTATTTGATCACATAAAATAAGAACAGGATTTGCTAATGCTTATAAATATTGTTAGTGTACAAAGGTGTTATCATTTTCATGAGTCTTAGCATGAAAATATTGCATTATGGAATGAGCAGCCATTCAAAAGACAAAACCAATTGCTGTGATTTTAATCAATTGCTGTGATTTTCACAAGTTTTGTTTAGGTATGTTTTTTGAAGCTTGCAAGAATGTATTTTCAAATTGGTTTTACAAATGGTTTCTTAATATTAAAAATAAACGACATCATTTCTTTCCAGCTCTTAGTTCTCTAAATTTGTGGGTTTTTTTTTTGCTCCTCTTTAAATATTGAGTATTTTGCTACCAGTTTTCAGATAACCCCTTTTCAAAGTAAATTTTGCTTATTTCAAAAAGTTCTTCCCTAAAGTTGATGGTCAATGGCTTTGAGAATATACTAGTGAGAAAACCAGAGAAATTGACCTCTAAATGTTTTCTTCCTAGTTATTGCTGTTTTCTGAGTACAGTAAATCTTCACTTTCCATTGTTGATAGGTCCTTGTAAAGTACAGCATTCAGAAAAGCAATGTGTAACCAAAAAAAAAAAAAAGTCATCAGATAACTTGATTGTTAGAGTTAACTGAGGCTGTTATTTCCTTGTGGACATTATAATATAGTCAAGTAGGGCAAAATGTTGTTACATGAGGGCAGACTGTGGTTTGTACTATTTTGGACAAGTGGTTCTCTTGAGTTTGCTGAAGTCATTATTTTGCTTTTGTTCTCTCTCCTTTCAATCTGAGATGGAAGTTGATTTGTCATGACTCCATAGTAAAACTCCATTGTTATCTGAGGGAAGGATAAAAATGTGTGCCCACATACATGGAATATTATTCAGCAATCAAAAAAGGTGAACACATGCCTTTTGCAGCAACATGGACGGAGCGGGAAGGGATCATGCTCAGTGAAATAAGCCAGAAAGAAAAAGAAAAATAGCGATGGTTTCACTCAAAGCAGGAACATAAAGGACCAGGGCGGGAAAATAACAATAATAATGAACAACTATATACCATAGACATTTTAGGTGGGTTGAGTGGGGACTGGGATCAAAAATGGGGAGGTGGAGGGGTAGGGAGAGTGCATGGACTATGATGATGGCACATGGGTGAATTGGTGATGGGAATCCCACGGGGATTACAACTGAGATGGAAAAAGTCACACAATGATGTAAAAATAAACTATTATAATAATTTTAAAAAAAGGAAAAAAAAATGTGCGTCCACAAACCCCAGTTTGGAGGGTATCCTATTATGATGATTGGACCTGTTCCATCAGGGCTTGATCATATACCAGAAGGCCTCAAATTTGAGTGTGTCAGAATCACCTGGAGGGCTT